GCATGAAGGTGAAGCCCAAACCACTCCTCTCTGTGGCTTTGGGCAGGGTGCTCTGCCTCTGCGCAGTATCCACACTTGAAAATGATAACCATGGCCAGGTACAGTGGCTCACGCCTGGAATTCCAACACTTTGGGAGGCCGAGGCAGGCGGATCATCTGAGGTTGGGAGTTCAAGACCAGCCTGACCAATATGGAGAAAACCTGTCTCTACTAAAAATACAAAAAGAAAAAAAAAAAATTAGCTGGGCATGGTGGCGCGTGCCTGTAATCTCAGCTACTCTGGAGGCTGAGGCAGGAGAATCACTTGAACCTGGGAGGTGGAGGTAGCGGTGAGTCAAGATCACACCATTGTACTCCAGCCTGGGCAACAAGGGTGAAACTCCATCTCAAAAAAGAAAAGAAAGAAAATGATAACCATCATTTCTCGGCATTTGGCTAAGATCAAGTGGAAATGCTGACAATCTCTCCCTTGTGGATCAGCTGTTAGGATTAAATAAGATAAGGCACACGACAATACCCAATTGTGAAGATTAAATGAGGCGGGGCACGTCATTAGCATGGGATGAGTGAATCCGGAGCATCTGCCAGTTTAGGGGAACCTTCCTTCAGACGACCCGCACTGACACAGCAAGGCGGGGGGTGTCTTTTGGGAAGAAGATCTCTCACTGCCCTTCAAATCAGTCTGTCTGGCAAAGCCTCTCCTTCCTCTAGACCTGCGCTGTCTCAGACTATAGCCACTAGACACATGTGGTTGTTTAAAGTTGATTAAAATTAAAATTAAAAATTCAGTTTTTGGCTGGGTTTGGTGGCTCATGCCTGTAATCCCAGCACTTTGGGAGGCTGAGGCGGGAGGATCACTTGAGCTCAGGAATTCAAGACCAGCCTAGGCAACATGGCGGGACCCATTCTCTACTAAAAATCTAAAAAATTAGCTAGGCGTGGTGGCACACGCTTGTAGTCCCAGCTACTTGGGAGGCTGAGGCAGGAGAATCACTTGAACCCAGGAGGCAGAGGTTGTGGTGAGCTGAGATTGCATCACTGCAGTCCAGCCTGGGTAACAGAATGAGACTCAGTCTTGAAAACAGAGAGAGAGAGAGAGAGGAGAGAGAGAGAAGAGAGAGAGGAGAGAGAGAGGAGAGGAGAGGGAGAGGGAGGGAGAGGGAGGGAGGGAGGGAGAGAGAGAGAAAGGTAGAGAGAGAAGGGGGAGGGGGGAGAGAGGGGGAGAGGGAGAGAGAGAGAGGGGAGAGAGAGAGAGAGAGAGTGCACAAGCTCTCTCACGTGAGGGCACTAATCCGGTTATCATGGTGCCACCCTCACGACCTTGTTAAACCTTAACTACCTCCTTAGCGGTCCTATTCCAAATACAGGCACTTGGGGCTTCAATGGACGGATTTAAGGCAGACACAAACATTCAGAGGTTGGGCACGGGATAGGCTGTGCAGAAGAGGATGTCAGGGCTCAGAAGAGTCAGGTAGTAAGGTCCCCACGGCTGATGAGCCAGAATTTGGATCTGAGGCTGTTGGAAGCCAACGCCCCTGGCCTCAGCCACTGTGCGGCACTACCCCTGGCTTCTGCATTCATTCGTTCATCCACTCAGCTGACACTCAGAGCTCCTGCTTCTTCAAATCAGGACCCTGACTCCCACCCCAGAGTGAAGAGTTCTCTCCCAGGAAGGAGGGGAGCTGTGTTCTCCCTGCCCCAACAATTCAGCCCTCTCCTTCCTCCAGGAGTTCTCGGTCAGGACGATGAGTGGGGTGAGGACAAACACAGGTGCATCCCCACGTGCGGCCAGGGTTACATGAGAGGAGTGGGAGAAATGAGGGTCTCAGGGACTTCACGCAGTGCCGTCCTGGGGCCAGGCAAGTTCGCTCCTTCTCCCCCACTTCCCTGAGTGACCCTGAAGGCCTAATAACACTGCTCACTGTTAACCCCTACCGAGCATTCCTCCATGCCCCACACCCTCCTGAGTACACCACGTGCAGTTTCCTGCATCAGCCTGAGAATCCCGAGAGTAGCTCTGACATCACCATCCCACTTTACACATGAAGACATTGAGGCAGAGAGGCTGAGTAGTTTACCTAAGGTCACACAGCCATGGAAAGTGGAGCTGGATTTTAAACCCAGGCAGTCCACTTCCGTCTGTGCCTGAACCAGTTACCCGGGACAGATGTAAGCCGGATGTCAGCACCGGACCCCAGGAAATGAAAGGCTGAGTATTTGCAAGACTTTCTGAAACCACTAAGTCTGCAAAGTTGCAAATGAGTGAGACAGATTACTACAGGGATAACTGGAATCCTCTCTATTATTCGTAAGAAAATAATTTTCAAACACCTTTAAGTAGTTTATTATTGCTCACAAGTTAAAGACAAGTCCCCCACCCCAGCTGAACAAGGGAACAGGCAGAGACTGAATAGGGTGCAGGGTGTTTCTGGTGGAGAGACTGCAAATGCAAAAGCCGGGCTGGAAGCTGGCCTGCTAAGGATCACCTTCAGAGCCTGAGGTTCTGCAGAAGGAAAATTCAGCCCTCAGAAGTTACAGATGGGAGCTGACCGGCTCGGGCAGGAGCCAGGGAACCCAGTTACTTACTGAGCATCTGTGGTCCCAGGCTCTAAGCAAGGGTCACAGGACTTTCACCATCAATTATCTGAGTAAGCTGAGTGGGGTTCCCAGCTCCCAGATTGATCTCACCTGAAACGCATTCACCACCTGCTCATTCTAGGATCGTGGGTGACCCAGCCCCATCCTGGCCGGGTGACTCATTATCCACTGGCCCAGGTGAAGAATACAGAGTAACAGTGCGGCCAGCGGGGCTGTGGGAGCCCAAAGGAAGTGCTTGGTTCAGCCTGAGGCTCGGGAAGGCTTCCTGGAGGCGATGGTGCCTCGACTGGGTCTTGAACCGGGAAGGGATGCCGCGTGTTCCCGGTGGAAGGTACGGTATGCACTACGCCGGGCGGTGAGCAGTGCAGGGGGTCGGGTTTGGGTGCAGCCGGGACCGCAAGGGTGGACCAGGGCCGGGAGAGCCGGGTCCTAGCTGTCGAGCTGGGCTTCGCCCCCCGGGGCCCGCCCGCGGCCCCGGCCCGGCCCGGCCCCCTGCAAGTCCAGGCCCCGCCCCACCGCCTCCCGCCCCGCCCCCGCCTGTCCAGGCCCCGCCCCTCATCATCCCGTCCCGCCCCCTCCCCGCCCCTGCCAGTCCAGACCCCGCCCCACCTCCTCCCGCCCCGCCCCCTGCCAGTCAAGGCCCCGCCCCCTCCACCTCCCGCCCCGCCCCTCTGCCTCTTGAAGGTGCGCGTCGGTGTCGGGCGCCCCCTGGCGGCGCGGCGCGGCGCGGCGGTTCGGCCGGAGCGGGCAGCCGGCCTCAGTTTCTAGCAGCAGCAGCAGAACGCGCTCTCAGGGGCAAGCAATTATTTCCGCGTAAAATGTCCATACATTTTTCCTTTATAGCAGCGCAGTCGCGAGATGCTTTTGCTTTATTATTTTTATAACGGAGGGAGAGTCCTGCCGAGGGTCAGGCGCTCAGGGCCCGCGGCCTCCACGATCCGGGGACCACCACCCGGCGGGTGCCCACCCAGCTCCGTCCTGGCCTCCTCCCTCTCCCTTCCAGGGGCTCTGGGGGACACGGAGCTCCTTTCCGTCTCAAAGGTGCAGCAAAAACCCAGCGAGCGCCGCTGGGGGCGTCGGAACAGGGCCGAAGCCCGCGCCCTCCAGTGCCGGGAGAGACTTGGGCAGGAGATGGGGCGGGCGAGGGGCAAGGGGGATGGGCGGGTGAGGGAGGTGGGGGCGGGCGAGGGGTGAGGGTGGGGATGGGTGAGAGGTGAGGAGGGTAGTGCAGGTGACGGAGATGGGGGCGGGTGCGGGGGATGGTGTGGGTGGGCGGGTGGGGGCACTGCTGAGGGGTGAGAGGGATGGGGTAGGCGAAGGGGACAGGGGAGGGTGAGGGGCGAGGGGTATGAGGGGTTGGGGGCAGGCGAGGAGGTAACGGAGGCTTGCATCGGTGGCCTCCCGGGGGGACTGTCTGTGCAGGGAACCTGGAGGAGGGGACAGAAGGAGGGTCAAGAGGCTGGGAGGGTCTTCCAGGCAGTGGGAAAGCTCCAGCAGGTGTCTGGAGGAGGGAGGAGACAGGGCTGGGTGATGAGGTCGGCAAGGGGAAGGGAGAGGAGGGTGGGGGCGATGGGGTGGCCCCTGGTAGCCCAGGGCAGTTTTGGAGCTAGGGGAGGGCCTAAGTGGAGGGTCAGAGGTTGGAAGGCCACAGGCTGGCAGGGAGAGAGAGGGGGCAGGAAGCCCAGCAGTGGTGGGGCATGCACCTCTCCACTCCACCCTCTTCTTTGGGGAACCCTCTCTCTCCTAGGCTTCTCCACTCAGCTCCCACAGATCTTCCTGCTCTGGTTCTTCTTCTGTGTGCGGCCGGACCACGTGTGGATGAGGGTGGGAGGGTCAGTTGAGCCCAGGAGTTCAAGACAAGCCTGGGCAACACAGTAAGACCTCATCTCTACAAAAATAAAAGAGTAGCTGGGTGTGGTGGTGCATGCCTGTAATCCCAGCTACTCGGGAGGCTGAGGCAGGAAGATTGCTTGAGCCCAGGAGTTCAAGGCTACAGTGAGCTATGATGGTGCCACTGCACTCCAGCCTGGGTGGCAAAGCAAGACCTTGTCTCAGAATCAAATCAAATCAATCAATCACACGTATTTAAAGTATACAATCTGATGAGTTTTGTCATACAGATGTACACATCACCGCAGTGAGATAATGACGATTTCCATCACCCCCAAAGCTGGGCCCCTGGCTGGGCGCGGTGGCTCACGCCTGTAATCCCAGCACTTTGGGAGGCCGAGGCAGGTGGATCACTTGAGGTCAGGAGTTTAAGACCAGCCTAGACAACATGGTGAAACCCTGTCTCTACAAAAAATAAAAATGGAGACAGAGAGAGAGAGAGAGAGAGAGAGGCAGCCCTGGTGAACGCCCTGATGATTAAGTCCCACTTCCTCTTCTTACCAGCTGGGTGACCTCCAGTGAGTCACTGGACCCTGCAGAATCTCACTTGTGAAGTTGGGTGAGATCTCTGCCCCCACTGCCCAGGCCCCATGGGAGCTGTGCAGACTGACTCTCTTCTGAAGAGTCCCTTGGAAATGTTTTGATGGGGACTAGAGAAAGAACTTCGCTTGTTCTTCAGGAAGACTTGACGGAGTCAGACGCTGAGGACCCCAGAGCATCTGGAGGAAGCCTGAGGGTCACCTCCACCTAGAAGCCTTCCTTCACTACCCTAAATACAATGGACCTCTGTACCCACCCCGTCTCAGTGATGGCAATGGGGGAACATTTGGAGTGGCTGCTGCCATCACACCAGCTGCAGCAGGCAGGCGTGGCTGGGGCTGCTCACTCCATGGAGCTGGCAAGAGCTCCGCCCCTTCTGAGTCAGCGTGGAAGCTCCCTGGGTGCTGCTGCAGCTGCCCAAGCCATAGCTGTGGACCCAGGCATCACTGGGTCTCGGAGCCTGGGAGCAGATGGGAACCCCACCCTCCAAGGGGCAGCTGCAGCCACCAAACCACAGCTGCAGGCCCGGGGCTCCTGCTCCACGGAGCAGGCAGGAGCCCTGCCCCCTTCCCACCTAGCTGCACCAGCCCAAACTGCAGCTGCAGACTCAGGCATCTCTGCTCTCTTGGGGACCCTGGAGGGCCCCCCTGCCCTCAGAGGCTTGGAAATGCCTGTTCCCACTGCCTGGCTTCTCCTGCTGTCAGTGCCCACTCTGATCTTGGAGCAAACTTGGGGCCAAGCCTGTGAGCTGTCACAGCTCAGCCAGGTGTGCACACACTCGAGGCAGTGCTGATCCACCAGCCCCCTGCTGTCTCAACCCCCTCCAGATTTTGGGCACTGATGGGCATAGGAGGGAAGCTGGAGGAATTGAGGGCAGCTTGGCACTGACCTGCAGATGCCCCTTGGGACCTACAGCTTAGGCACCATGAATGGCAGCTGGAGGCAAACAGGTTTCTGGGCAGAAGGGGATGGGTCCTGGTGAGACCCCACCTTCAGGCCAGGAAGGGCCTGAAGGCTGGAGGGAGGCTGCCAGTGCCATGGACTGGAATGCGAACTTGTGGTGCCTTTTCTGGGCCTGCCCATGGCCGCCCGTGGGCCATTCAGCATGAACTTCCTCCTCTCTGAGACCCATAAGAGCCCCAGGCTCAGCCAGAGCTAAGCAGACATCTGGATGACCGGCTGTGGAAGGAACTATCCACTCCAGGGCCTCCTCCGAGCTATTGCCACGCAGTAAAGCTCCTCTTCATCTGGCTCACTCTCCCCTGGTTTGCGTACCTCATTCTTGGGTGCAGGACAAGAACTTGGGACCCACTGAATAAGGTTAAAAGAGCTGTAACACGAACCGGGTTGAGACAGGCTCCTCGCTCGCCATGTTGCGGGTGAAGAGAAGGAAGCAAGAGCTGTGGCCCTTTGGGGAGCCCAGACCTGGGAGTCTCCCAAGCCGGGGCTGTGCCTCCTTCTTTGGGTCCCTGTGGTTCCTGCCATCTCCAAGCTTCTGAGAGCTACTATGTTCCCCAGTGCCAGCTGTGGAAACTGCTTGCAGTGTGCCTGGTCCAGCTGCAGCGTCGCAGGAGAGCTGGCACTCATGATGGCATCTGGAGCTGCACACCCCACTGCAGCAGCCAGCATGTCTGACTGTGCTGGGACTGGACCCCATGCTTGCTCACACACCCCTGGCCACCTCACGCAGTCTCCCCTACGCAGACGGAGGCTCCAGGCTGGTGGTGTGAGCCAAGTGCAATCTGCCAGTGGGCAGAATGAGCCCAGTGGGCCCAAATTCAGACAAAGTGCCACTGGCCACAGAGGTTTCTGGCCACAAAAGGGATACCGTAAAGTTTCCATAACATTAGCACCTGGCCCCTCTCACATCTGTACACATACCTGTCTTTGCGCCTGGCCGCTCTGACGTCTGTACACATACCAGTCCCGTCCTTGCTGCCTTAATCACAGGGCAGCCTGCCAAGCCATGAAACCCTGAGATCTTAGGCTGTGGGGAGCACTTGGTGTCCCCAGAATGCAGACATCAAGGGCCTGCCCTGAGGAGGCAGGCAATGATGAAAGAGTACAGAATGAATGAATGATGTCTCTGTGTGCTGGGTCTTAAGGAGAACAGACCATGAAAACCATTCATGTATAGGAAGTGCCAGAGGCTTCCAGGCAGGAACACAAGGAGTCTGTGCACAGCCCCATGGGGAATCACGACCCCCATGGCCCCCATTTTGCTGAAAAGGGAACTGAGACTCAGAGAGGCTGAGCCACTTCACCCAGTGAGGGGCCGGCAGGGCTGGGATTCTAGCCCCAAGTGTGGCTCTCCCCACTTCCTTGTGGCTCTCAGTACCCAGGAGGAATGAGGGGCCCCCTTCTCCTACCGATGAGGAAACTGAGGGACAGAGTATGGGGGGCCTGCCAGTCACTCAGCATGCCAGGAGACAAGTTAGGCCTGGAGCCCACGTCCCTGTTCCAAAACTCCCCCATCTTTTTTTTTTGAGATGGAGTCTCACTCTGTCACCCAGGCTGGAGTACAGTGGCGCAATCTTGGCTCACTGCAACCTCTGTCTCCCGGGTTGAAGGGATTCTCTGGCCTCAGCCTCCTGAGTAGCTGGGATTACAGGCGCCCACTACCACACCTGGCTAATTTTTTTTTTTTTTTTTGAGACAGAGTTTCCCTCTTGTTACCCACGCTGGAGTACAATGGCGCAATCTCGGCTCACCGCAACCTCCGCCTCCTGGGTTCAAGTGATTCTCCTGCCTCAGCCTCCCGAGTAGCTGGGACTACAGGCTGTGCCACCATGCCCAGCTAATTTCTGTATTTTTAGTAGAGACAGGGTTTCACTATGTTGGCCAGGCTGGTCTCAAACTCCTGACCCGAGGTGATCTGCCCACCTCGGCCTCCCAAAGTGCCAGGATTACAGGCTTGAGCCACTGCACCCAGAATGCCACACGATTTTAAGCAACCAGATCTTGTGTGAACTCATTGCCACTTACTACCACAATGAGGACACAAGCCATGCGTGAGGGATCCACCCCCATGATCCAAACACCCCCCACCAGGCCGCACCTCCAACGTTCGTCACCACATTTCAACATGAGACTTGGAGCGGACAAACATCCAAGCCATATCGCCCCATGAAGAGGATGGGACAGCAAGGAGAGGCTGGCACCTTGCTTTTGCACTACCCAGCTACTTGGAAGGCTGGGGCGTGGGGGATCACTTGAGCCTAGGAGGTTGAGGCTGCAGTGAGCTGAGATCATACTGCTGCACTCCAGCCTGGACAACAGAGTGAGACCCTCTCAAAAAAAAAAAAAAAAAAAAAAAGTCAAGGAAGCCTTTGTGAGTTCTCTAGTTGCAAGGAAATGAGTCCTGCCAACAACCATGTGATCTGGAAAAGGGCGTCAATTCTCAGGTGACACCTCAGCCTTGGCCAATACCAGGATTTCAGCCTTGGGGTGCTGTGAGCAGAGAACCCTGTCACGGTGAGCCTGAACTACCAACCAGTAACGCTGTGAGCTGACAGGTCACTTAGTTTGTGATAATTTGCGATGCAGCAATAGAAAACAAATACTGGCCGGGCGCGGTGGCTCACGCCTGTAATCCCAGCACTTTGGGAGGCCGAGGTGGGCGGATCACCTGAGGTCAGGAGTTCAAGACCAGCCTGGCCATCATAGTGAAACCCCATCTTCAAAAAGAAAAGAAAAGAAAACAAATACTATGTGAAAAGAGTTCAAGCAGAACTCATGACAGTGGGGATGGTGTGAAGCAGATGGACGTGATGGTACTTGGAAGATGCAGTCGCCAGATGGATGAGAGCTGAGGGCAAGGGAGGGGGCGTCTGGAGAGAAATCGAGAGGGAGAGCCCGTGGGAAGATGAGATCTGGGTATCCCTTCAGGCATCTCTGTGAACTTCCTGAACAGTCAGCTGGGCACAGGAATAGGTGAGGTCTGAATGTCAAGCAGATGTGGGGAGTGGTTGGTGTGTGATGAAGGTCGGTGCCATAGGAGCGGGGAGCTGGGCCCAGGATGGAGCCCTAAGGAGCTGACTGAAGAAGCCTGGAGGATTCACAGGGCCTAGAAGCTGCGTGTTATGGTTTGAATGTGTCTTGTGCTGGACACTTAATCCCCAATGCAACAGTGTTGAGAGGTGGGGCCTTTAAGAGGTGATTGGGTCATGAGGGCTCTTCCCTCACGAATGCATTAATGGCATTATTACGGAGTGGGAGTGGCAGTTGGTTTGTTATTGCTGGGGTGGCATCTTTATGTGGGAAGTAGAAAAGTTCCTCTTTGAAGTTTCCTTTCTTGTTAGAGAATAAGTGTGCTAATAACTCTGTGAAGCCCTGTCCTCTGTAGCCGTTGGACACGCCATGCTTCCAGGCACGTGGTACATTCTGTGTCCTTGTACTTTACCCAAGATCCCTGTGCTGGACGTGCTCACAGGCATGTCCCAGCTCTCCACTGCTTTTACCTGTTTAGAAAACTTTTAAGTTGTTTGGCAATCGGGTTTCAGTTTAGATTGTGAGGTCTGGCTCCAGCCAGCGGAGATCAGACACAGCAGTGAGGACGACCCCAATTGCACAAGGGATAAATGTGTGTGTTTTCCTTTGTTCATTGCACTCTGTGGCAAGATGGCTAGTGAGGGTCCCTTCCTGCAGTCCAGGAAGAAAAATCTGCGTTGCTGAAAGACCCTTTGTCTCAGTGCTGATTTTTCTTTGCGGCACCGAGCGTCTATTTTCAACACTTATAAAGGATAAACCTGGTCTCCTTTCTCTTGCACACTTGAGGGCTCTTTTGCCCTTCTGGCTTCTGCCATGTGAGGATGCAGCGAGAAGGCCCCCATCAGAGGCTGGCACCTTGATTTTGGACTTCCCAGCCTGTAGTACTGCAAGAAACATATTTCTCTTCTTTATAAATTCCCCAGTATTCTGTTACAGCAGCACAAAACAGACTAGGACACCAGGGAGGGGAGAGGGCGAGGGACAAGGAGCCAGGCGCAGGGCAGTGCTGGCTGCAGGGCACACGGGCCGAGGCCTGCCGCTGTGACCTCTGCGTTACCTCTGGACTTGGTCTCCCCCCCACTTCTTCACCCGCACAGCAGCAGCTCCATCCCTGGTCTCCCGGCCCCTCCCGCAAACCCCTGCAAACTCAGGGCAGCTCTGGGAAGGCAGGAACCGTACCTGACTCACCCTCTTGTCAGGCCCTGTGTGGACGCTGGTGAGAAAGTCACAGACATGACCAGCCTCTCTGTGACCTGTAGCCTACAATCACAATGAAAGGCACGCCAAGTCCCATTTGACTTTAGTAAACATAAAGATGTTATTTTCTTCCCACCCAAGTTTCCAGATCGCCTGTATTCTGTCCGCAGACTTCTACTCAGCGTGAAGGGCTGAAGCTCTATGTCACGATGAGGCGGGAACGGGTGCTCTTCGTGAACGGAACAGCGTGGCCAGAAGGGAAGAAGATGTCAGCCAGCAGCGGCGGCAGAATCAGCAGGGCCATTATGGGGCGCCGACAGCCAGCCACCCTCGGAGAGAGCCCTCGTGGGAAGCCTGGGCTGGGAGTGAGGGTGAATGGGCATTCCAGGCTGAGGGCAGCACACGTGTGACCTCAGTCTGGTCCCTGCCTCTCCAGCTTCTGTCCCTTCAATGTGAAATGGACAGGCTGGACCGGAAGCCCCCTAGGGCCCTAGCAAGGCTCGCCCTCTAGTGCCCAGCTCACTTTCACCTCTGGTGGGGAGGGCCCAGCAGCCAACGTACCATTGGGACTCACCCCTTTGCTAACTGAGGGCTCATGGTGGTCCCTGTTTCAAGAATAACCCGCTGATGAGTGTTAACTGCACCATTTTATTATTATTTTTGTTATTGTTATTTTAAGATGGAGTCCCACTTTGTCACCCAGGCTGGAGTGCAATGGCGTGCTCTCTGCTCACTGCAACCTCCACCTCCTGCGTTCTCCTGCCTCAGCCTCCTGAGTAGCTGGGATTACAGGCATGTGCCACCATGCCCGGCTACTTTTTGTGTTTTTGTAGAGACGGGGTTTTACCACGTTGGCCAGGCTGGTCCCGAACTGACCTCAGAAGATCTGCTGGTCTCGGCTTCCCAAAGTGCTGCTGTACCCGACCCACACTGCACCATTTTGTCAGCCCGGCGCCATTTCACAGACCCTGGTCAAAGTGAAACATTCCACAAGGGTTCGGGCGGTGAGAAACTTCCTGCCCACCAGCCTGACTTTCTTATCATACCCTGCTGGGCAAAGACCCAGCT